TCTAATTAAGATGTGAGGGTGTTGGGTGTGGCTGCAAACTGACAGCATGCAGTTGTTACAGTACAAAGAAAGTGTCAAATGTTGATTGCTAGAGTTAAATGGTTAGCTTTTGCTAGGGTTTGCCGGATTATTTTCTAAAATTGCTCTATTATGCTATGCTGAAATTTTCAGGAAGCCGCTCTATTATGTTCTACCAATCATAGGCGTAGCCAGCCTAAGAAGAGAGGTGAGGCAAAGGGAAAAGGAAGTAAAATGGTGCACGAAGCACACCACAATTTGGACCACACCCCCTTTTCCATCGCCAACATTTACGATATTTCACGTACAGTACAAGATGATAATAATCTCGTACTTACAAAATATTATCAGATTCATATGATGATCCTGGTTCAGTTGCCTAGTAGGCCATTTTGGGTTTGAGGGAAAAAATGAAAGCACTGAAGTTTGTCTTTTGCTTGCTATCTTACGTGCCTCAACGTGGTTAACTGATTAGTGATTATAAAAACTAATTAGACTATCATTATGAGATCATCATGCATAACAACAATCAATGACATCATCATTTCAAGATGGTTGACTTCCTCTGCCTATACCGCTGTAGAAGAAAGAATCAAAGGAGTGCCTCTGACTGCCTCAACTTGCATGAGGCTTGATTAGTAAGTAACATTTGAGCTCACAGAGTCAGGTGAGGCATTGCCCCTCCATGCCTCACCCTGCCTACGCCTATGCTACCAATCAGCCATTATGCTCCCAATTATGCCCATGAATTTCATTATAATAACTTAGCCCCACCAAAAAATGTAAGCCAGTAATTTAGTTATGAAGTTCTTGAGTATTGTGAGCAATAGTAGCTGTTTAGGAATAAATTTATTGAGTGCAAGGGCCTGTTTTTATTGCATTTCTCAACACACTTTTCAAAATTTTCTATCATAGCTCCATTATGCTTACATTATGCTTATGCTTTTGGGCCCTATTATGCTCAAAACTATGCTGGCATAATCCACCAAGGCTAGCCTTTTGTTCCCTCAGAAAAGATAAACGAAGCAGTAGGCTGATAGGAATGTACTTTTCCAAGCTAAGACTAGTATTGATTCTAAGACTCTTAAGAACTCAAATAAAAAGCAGCAGTAGCTTGAAAACAGATTTGGCTTGGAGACACACACAGACAAGACAACTACTTTATAGTATACCCTCACTTCTACGCCTACACGTGGGCTCGGCTAATGAATGACAGATAACACATTTAACTACATACTGATAGTCCTCGCCCATGCTAATCGCTGACGAGGCCAACAAAACATGTATATTACATTATTACTTCTCCTATATGTTGTTTTATTTCCCTAACAGTCCAACCTTTCTCAACTCTCACTGGTTTAGCTGGTCCTACTTCACCAGTTGACAGATCAACCACTGATATTAATAAATTAATACCTACATGTACATGTACACCATCAAACACATGTACCTGTAACGAGAGGTATTTTCATATGTTGCAACTCACCTCCATCATGGTACTTATCAACAAATTCATTTTTTTCACAAGTTTCTATGAAAAATCCAAAAGGAAAATAAAGCCTAGTCCCACCAGCAATTTGTCCAATAGTTTGATGCTGAAACTAAAAATAACAACAACATGCAAGAGGATACACAAAACTTAATTGTACCTCATTAAGATCAAAGGACTGTTCCATTACATGATATACATAATCATATTTAACTAAACGACATCTCTCAATAGGAATATGA